ATTTTTGACTGATGTGGTTTTTCGAGGCAAATTTGCGTTCAGTGGTTTCCAGTGCTGTCTAAACAGTAAAATGTAAAAGTAGAGTCGGAAGATGTGAACCAGCGTCATTGCACACGGTTATAACCCATAAGTGCTCTGCCACCAGCACGGACAGCTGATAAGAAACTGTCTGCCTATGTCGCCGTCCACACGCAACTCCGTAGCTACAGCGACGTTCCTCCATTTACTCTAGAGTGTTAACTATTTCCTAGAGGCTGGGTGAACCCGGGGAACCGTCCGGTTTCGAACACTAGCCGTGGGCTGCTGTGAGTCGCAGCTGGATTTGAAAGCGAGTCTTCTATCGACTGTACTAACGCTGCCCTGTATATACGGTCGACTCTCGAAACAGCTGTCGAAACCAGTGCAAGAAGGTCTGCTGACAATCTGGCTGCAGCTGGGATGGAGCCCGGCACCAAAGCATTACGAAACGCGTTCGCAACGCCTAAGCCACCAATACAATGACGAAGCATAAAAAGAAGAAAAAACAACAGTTAACGACTCGGCTGTCCCAGCTCTGGCACTATCTATTGATCCACTCAATAATTCATACTAGTACACACTCCTTACAACCTTCAACCAAAGCATTCAGTTCTATTCGACTCCCCCGTCTCCCCGGAAAAAAACCGCAACAAAAAATGTCTGGTAAAGTAATGACACGCAAAACCAGGACCAGATTTAAGAGGGTCAGGATTTGATTAATTCAAACACATCTTTTTGCTGTGCTGTTTCTTTTTTTTTTCTTTTTCTTTTCAAAGCCGGCTAGGACAGACGAGCAGAGCACGTCGCAGGAGACTAGAGACACTTCTCTAGCGTCGCGCGATTCCACTGCCACACGCTCGCTGCCTTCGATTTGGGTTTCAAACTTCGATTCAAAGCTCCCGGCTTCTGTGTACTTACCCCAGCCTTGGTGTAGAATTAGGTCTTTTCGTGCATTATAGTTTTATTTATTTCAAGTCCATACCTAGCATAGCTTCCTGTGAGTGCAGCAGTGAAGAGGGATATAGCGGGAATGTTTAGATTGAAAAAGGATCAATTAGGCTGTGCTCTATTTAGCAGTGTTTTGTGTCGTTTCGACTGGCATCACTTTTTCTGGATGTAGCACACGGCAACGGCAGAATCTAGAATTTAGAAGTAGTACTTCAGTACATGGTTCGCTTATTGCCTGGTTGTGGATCTAAGCGCTCAAGGCATGGTCACTGGTTTCTGGATTCAGTCGCTTTATAAAACGCCGTCGTGATTGTGTTTGATGTTTACTGTTTGTGTTATGTTGCGGTTATACATTAACGTGCGGTTTTCTGACATAATTATGTCGCTGTGTTGTGTTGCGCTGTTTCCCGTGATAAGGTGTGTGACATTTGTATATTTTGCATAGCTCATATTTGTATGTATGCACAGGTGCGGGTAGACTTGCATATGTTGTCGTTGAATATTATAGGTAGATTTACGAATATTAATATGTTTATAGGCCAATCTATGTGCTCAACATTATTGGATATCTCCTGTAGTTTAATTTTTATAGCGTTAGGTTTGCCAGTTTTCTTGCATTTATAGATTTACCAGTATTTTTACATTTGTAGACTTCGTTGAATTCTTTTACGTGTAGAGTTAGAAGTATTTTGTAAGTAGATTGAACAGTATTCTTCTGTTATTGTCTGTATGTAAATCTTCTACTTTCCCCTATGAGCTGCTGGCTGAAACTTTGATCGCCTCCAAGACTTTTTTTTAGTTCAATCCTGGATGGCCGACCAACATGGCAAATCGCAGATGTCCTTTGGCACTAACACTATAAGCATCTACAGAGGGCACATTGTAAACTTACACACACACATATATACATACATACATGCATACATACATACATACATACATGCATGCATACATACATACATACATACATACATACATACATACATACATACATACATACATACATACATACATACATACATACATACATACATACATACATACATACATACATACATACATACATACATGCATGCATGCATGCATGCATGCATACATACATACATACATACATACATACATACATACATACATACATACATACATACATAATACATACATACATACATACATACATACACACATACACACACACAAGGATTTAAGGTCACGTGGCTAGTTGCAGTCGCTGTTAATTATGCAGGTTAGGGTGTTGTTGTTGTTTTTTACCCCTGACAGAAAGATAAGCGGTACTTTATCTTTATTTCACCCAATACAAAGGAAATTCCAGAGTTTCCAGGAATGTCCAATATTCTAAGGGGTGTTATGAGTTGGGGTTAGGGGTAGGATCTGATTCATCCCCGACTGCCTCAGAGACCCTGACTAACTGTAACGCTAACCCTAACTGCAACCTTAAACATAACCCTAACTCCATCCTCAAACATAACCCTAACTCCAACCACAAACATAATCCTAACTCCAACCTTAAACATAACCCTAACCCCAACCTTAAACATAACCCTAACTCCAACCTCAAACATAACCCTAACTCCAACCTTAAACATAACCCTAACTCCAACCTTAAACACAACCCTAACTTCAACCTTAAACATAACCCTAATTCCAACCTTAAACATAACCCTAATTCCAACCTTAAACATAACTCTAACTTCAACCTTAAACATAACCTTAACTTCAACCTTAAACATAACCCTAACTTCAACCTCAAAACATAACCCTAACTTTAACCTTCAACATAACCCTAACTTCAACCTTAAACATAACCCTAACTCCAACCTTAAACATAATCTTAACTCCAACTTTAAACATAACTCTAACGCATAACGCACTTAAAATATTGGACTTTCCTGGTAACTCAGGAATTTCCTTTGTTTTAGGTGAATTAAAAGTAAAATACTAAATTAGCTTATAATCTTACAGAGGATTCAAACCTGGGTTTCCTGCACGAGAGCCCGGCGTTCTTTACCGCTCGGGCAGCCGCTAAACATAAATACAAGAACTAAAACAGAAATCCATGTGCAGATCCGGAATAAGAAGCTTAACGAAACACAAGTTTAGAGAAATGCAATACTCTGGACAGATATTTTCCGGCGCAGGACTCAGATTAAAGCAGATTCATTGGAGTGTGTCCGATCATTGCTGCAAGCATGACTGCACGTCGTTCAGGAGTTGTCGCAAGGAAATTGACACTGTGTGAGAGTGTTTTTCCACTTCGCCAGCATCTCCTTTTCCACGCAGATGTGAAGTTAAAAGTGTGGACTCACTTCACCATCATCTTCTCTGTCATGCAGAAGTGAAGTTACAAGTGTGGACTCACTTTACCAGCAATTTCTCCGTCTTGCAGAAGTGAAGTTACAAGTGTGGACTTACTTCACCAGCAACTTCTCCGTCTTGCAGAAGTGAAGTTACAAGTGTGGACTCACTTTACCAGCAACTTCTCCGTCATGCAGAAGTGAAGTTACAAGTGTGGACTAACATCACCAGCAATTTCTCCGTCATGCAGAAGTGAAGTTACAAGTGTGGACTCACTTCACCAGCAATTTCTCCGTCACGCAGAAGTGAAGTTACAAGTGTGGACTCACTTCACCAGCAATTTCTCCGTCATGCAGAAGTGAAGTTACAAGTGTGGACTCACTTCACCAGCAATTTCTCCGTCATGCAGAAGTGAAGTTACAAGTGTGGACTCACTTCACCATCAATTTCTCCGTCACGCAGAAGTGATGTTACAAGTGTGGACTCACTTCACCAGCAATTTCTCCGTCATGCAGAAGTGAAGTTACAAGTGTGGACTCACTTCACCAGCAATTTCTCCGTCACGCAGAAGTGAAGTTACAAGTGTGGACTCACTTCACCAGCAATTTCTCCGTCATGCAGATGTGAAGTTACAAGTGTGGACTTACATCACCAGCAATTTCTCCATCACGCAGATGTGAAGTTACAAGTGTGGACTCACTTCACCAGCGTCTCCTCCTTTACGCAGAAGTGAAGTTACAAGTGTGGACTCACTTCACCAGCGTCTCCTCCTTTACGCAGAAGTGAAGTTACAAGTGTGGACTCACTTCACCAGCGTCTCCTCCTTTACGCAGAAGTGAAGTTACAAGTGTGGACTCACTTCACCAGCGTCTCCTCCTTTACGCAGAAGTGAAGTTACAAGTGTGGACTCACTTCACCAGCGTCTCCTCTTTCACGCAGATGTGAAGTTACAAGTGTGGACTCACTTCACCAGCGTCTCCTCTTTCACGCAGAAGCACGTTATCGAGAGGACGGATTGTAGCACGCCTTTTCGCACTGAGAGAGAAGGTCAATAAATAAGTTCACATGATAGCATGAATCGGACCTAGTCGTATCTTAGTTGAATGAAGATGGGAAATGTCATTAAAGCAGGATATAAATTCGGAATTTTTACAACAGAAGCTCTGGTTTTCAAAGAGACTAAAGTGGCCGTCTCCAGAAGCGCCTGAAACTGGGATCTTGGGTACTTTTAGCCTCCCCGCCTCCCTCGCGTACCCTACCCTTGGTGGTTCTGCTCACTTCTAAATTTATAAAACGACAAAGCTGAACCCACCCCAGAATGTATATAGCTGATTTGTTTTTTAATACACATTTTTTTACACTATGTAATATAGTATTTGCCACTCTGCACATTACTATTAAGCATTTTAACAAGACTTAATCCCTCGTGAGACCTCCTCCCCCCCCCCCATTATAAAATGTAAGGGAGCTGAGCCCCAAGGTACCACAACCCCCCCCCTTCCCCCCCCCCTCCAACTCCCCCTCCCATAACGTTTTGTTTACGCGCTCCTGACAGTCTCTATGTTTGACCCCAACCGAGGGTTACCGAACGTCGGCAGTAATGTAACGCTAACTGTTGACGTCTGCAGCTAGACCACACAACAGTGTTTGTTGTGTCTAGCATTGGTCAGTCCGGATTCGATTCTGCGTGATTACAAAACGAGGTCATTAGCTTACTCGTTATGTACCAAGCAACTCAGTCTGCGTTTATTTTAACTTGTTAAAAGATGTGGGTTTTTTTTTTCTCTTAACCTTGTGTTGTTTTTGTGCAAACCCGCCGAATGTCCGAGGTTAGTTTGATTCTTCTTTCCGTGTGGCATGCTTTCTATAATCCTATAAATAAACGTTCTTTTTAGGATGACATTTTTTGTTATTTGAAGCCCCACCCTGACTTTTGCCAGGGGCCGCAATATAGGCAGGTCATAAATATCTCCAATTGTCTGAACGGGGTTTCTGGGACCTCTCCACGGTAATCCTCATCCACATGGTGGCACTTTGTGTCATCGGGTGTTTATTGCTTGTGTGATGTCCAAGTGGGGTAGAAAGTCAGTCAGTCGGTCGGCATGCTTCCGACACTACTATTATATTATGTTACGATGAAGCGTGTCAATAACAGCCAATAAGAACCAGGGATGGTATTTCTCCTCTCCATAGCACAAAGCAGGGCAGTATTGTAGAGACCATGTGTTGCCCATGCAGCATGATCCTTTCTTGGCCTGCCTTGTTTATTCAAGAGAAAAGGTAGCACCAGTACGCCAGGAACAAAGCATGCCGCAGACGCTGTCGGATCAGAAGAGCAGTGCTCTGTCTTTCTACTTGGCGGAGCTTTCCTCCTAGACAAGCTATCAGGGCTAAAGGCCTGGTCTGTCCTGCCAGAACTTTGAAACTGTAGGTTACGTTTCCTTTTCATCGAATAAGACTCTTGTCTTCCCCAATGCGCTTCTCCGCTCAAAGCCGTTGGTACAGTGTTAGATATCAGGTTTGCTATTTGCCTCAATGTTTTTGTCTTCTTCTTAGGCTTTCAGACCCATTGTAATTCATTGCTGCAGATATCATCAGCATCATCATAAACCACTTCTGCCGTTAAGCGTCCTTAGGACGTTGGCTGCCACTGGCTATCGTCATGCCGTGAAGGTGTAGAGTGTCTTTAATGTTGTCGATCCATGTTTTCTGCGACGGTCCTCTTACTCTTGTAGCTTTTTTTTTTAACATGTACTGCTTGTGCACCTACCGCATTCATCTCTGCGACCGACTTTCTCTGTCTGTAGGTCTGCCCGTATATTCTATCAACCATCCTCTTGGTCTGGCTATTAGTCTACGACCATTCAGTTCCCTTGTGTTTACAGTTTCTAACTCTCTGTCATCTGGTATTCTCTCTCGTCCCATTCTCTTAGCCCCATTATGCTAGTAGTTATGGAGGATTTAAACATGTTATTGTTTCTTTTTCATTGTGAGAAAGGAGACGGACAACATGTGGGAATGTCCGGAGTGCAGGGATGTCAATTCTTGATTAATCCATTCATTCATTCTTCTCCATTCTCCGCTTTCTGCATCTTTGATGGTTCCAAAGTTTCGCCGCAAGAACAAATTTGTTACAAGGCTTCCATTTCTTTTAGTTTTACTCTAGGTCTTATCTGACTTATATAAATTTGATCTTGGTATTACCAGAGTTAGAACCGTCATTTTGCCAGATCGTGAACATTATTTCCATAATGCGACTTTTCTATACAAAACGATTCTATTTTTGAATCCATTAGAGTCAGTGTTAATGTGAAGTAACAACAGTTTCTGAGAGACTGAGTTAAAATAACTGATTCTGAGAGATTAAATTGAAGTAACAGCAGTTTTCGAGAGATTGAGTTAAAAGTAACAGCTGTTTCCGAGAAGCTCAGTTGAAGTAACAGCTGTTTCTGTGATGCTGGGTTATAATAACAAATGTCCAGAACCGAATAAATAACATTCGGTGTTGTTACCGTGCTACATTCATCTGCAAGTGCCATGATTTTTCCCACTTCTGGTGTTTTCGTCTTGACCAGAAAATCGAAGGGAAAAATGTCTGATTTACAAACACGGCACTGATAGTGAACAGGAATGAATGTCAGCAGAAAGGAAGGTAAGGCTATTCTGTCGTATCATGTAACTGACTCTATCACGTGATTGTATTGTTCCATCCTGAAGAGTTGTTGCTTTCATACTGTACCAAACAACTCCTTGACACCGCGTTTGAATACGTATTGTCTCCTAAATTTATAAACAGATCTCTGTGTGAGTATACCGTAATGAGGCCCTGATCCTTTCTACTGTGCGACTCGCTACCATTGTCTGAAAGCCGCGAGAATGACCTTTCCTGCAGGAATCGACCCCAGTATGCCAAGGATTTCATTGTAAGAGATGTGACCAACCTTTATACTATAGAGATACACTGTTGTTAATATACAGTAGACGCATGCCCCCGCTCCCGCTTTTTTTTAAAGCCAAGTATGCCGTAAAAGACGGCTGATTCGGGGTTTGCTAAGTGTGGTTGTGGTTCACCGGGGGGACAAACTCCACAGCGCGTCTTACAGGCTTGCCTAGACTTTGCCAGTCAGAGAGAAGACATCTGGCCCGCAGGAGCGTCCTTATAAGATAAACTGAAGGCAGTCAGAGAGAAGACATCTGACCCGCAGGAGCGTCCTTATAAGATAAACTGAAGGCAGTCAGAGAGAAGACATCTGGCCCGCAGGAGCGTCTCTACAAGATTAACTGTAGGGCACCATTTAAGAAATCAAGCTCACCATCCTGTTTCTGGCCCATACTGGAATAGACGTATAGCAAACATTGATCGTTGAAGAAGAAAGAAGATGGGATTTGCTAAAATCGGATGTTTTGGGTCAAGAGGAGCAGATATCGCAGCCTAGCTATAAGCCACAACTTAATGTGCTAACCGTCCTGTTATAGGCGAACGCAGATAAAGAATTGTGAAGACATCTCTATCTGTCACATCTTTCATTGCCAGATATGTTGGAGAGAAGTCTCGAATAGGCGAAACCAGTGAGCTGGGAATTGCCAGCGAAGATGTTCTTGAGAAACACAGCGTGAAAGGAAGCCAAAATCCCTTCTTGACACTTCTTGAATTGGTTCCTTTCAATCAATTCCCTCACTCGCTTTCATTGGCCCCATACCATTTTCGTTATCTGTTGCTCGTCATCGGCTCCTTTCTTTTGGGATATACCAGGCCATTTATCGACTATTTTCTTGTTCATGGAAGGATAATTTGGGGCCGTTTCATGCTGTCACTTTTCCGGAAAATGCTTATCTCTGTCTTCCATTCATTATATCCGTATTTGCCTTTAAATACTTACATTCGTTGCATTATAAGCTTTAATCTTTCTGTCTCATCAAATTCTGAATATTTGCCCTTCAAAACAAAACGTATCTTTCCGTTTTAACGATAACATATTTTATCTTTTAAATAAATAAATGTCTTTCTGTTTCATCCGTGGCTGTGTGACTTAACAGTTTAGTGAACACGTTTAACAGTTTCGTCCTGCAGTACTAGTTCAGTCATTTGTGGGATGCGGTCTGGGTGGGCATACATGGCGCAGGTGGCAGTAAAGGAACAAAGCCAAGCATTGAGCTCAACTGCTTCTGGCCTGACGCTGGAGATAGCAGCTGACACGGGGTCACTTGCTTGTTTGCATAGCTGACGAAAAAGAAGGCAACCCACGCATTGATAGTGACAGGCTCATTGAGCATGCACGATAATCCAAACTGGCAAACTCCAACTTGAAGGGGTTGACAACCTCCAGAAGTCATGTCTCGGGAAACTATCCTGGCTGTACACACAGGTAGACGCCGGGGTAAAAGGAAACAAAAGAACGGAAAGACTGGCTGTTTCAGCAGTGGTTACTAAAAGGGGGGGGGGGGGGTGGACAGGGCAGACATGCTGAATGCGCTGCGTTCCAGGGACTTTCAGACCAAGGAGCCACAGATTTTTGGAAATGAGTACCAAACAAGAATAAGCCTGCAAAAACCAGCTGCGGGGCACAAAAAGAAGATATGCCAGTCAACTTCTACTGGGTACTTTGAACATTAAGACACTGAGGCATCGGAGGACGGAGCCACTAACAGGTCGGACCAGTGTGCTGGGATGTCGACACGGACTACAGGTCAGACCGGTGTGCAAGGAGGTCAGCACGTACTACAGGTCAGACCGGTGTGCAAGGATGTCGGCACGTACTACAGGTCAGACCGGTGTGCAAGGATGTCGACACGGACTACAGGTCGGACCGGTGTGCAAGGATGTCGACACGGACTACAGGTCGGACCGGTGTGCAAGGATGTCGACACGGACAACAGGTCGGACCAGTGTGCTGGGATGTCGACACGGACTACAGGTCAGACCGGTGTGCAAGGATGTCGTCACAGACAACAGGTCGGACCAGTGTGCTGGGATGTCGACACGGACTACAGGTCAGACCGGTGTGCAAGGATGTCGTCACGGACAACAGGTCGGACTGGTGTACTAGGATGTCGACACGTACAACAGGTCGGGCAGGTTTACTAGGATGTCGACACGTACAACAGGTCGGACTGGTGTACTAGGATGTCGACACGTACAACAGGTCGGACCGGTGTGCTAGGATGTCGACACGTACAACAGGTCGGACCGGTGTGCTAGGATGTCGACACGGACAACAGGTCGGACCGGCGTGCTAGGATGTCGACATGGACAACAGGTCGGACCGGCGTGCTAGGATGTCGACACGGACAACAGGTCGGACCGGCGTTCTAGGATGTCGAAAAAAACTTTTTTGTGTGGAAGCTTTTATCTTTCTGCTTGTATTTACCACTTGGTGGTGTAAAAAAAAAAAAGGAGGGGAGGGGCAAGGAGTAGGAAGGATGGCGTGACCCTGGGAAATTAGGGCCGCATGGCTAGTGCAGTCGCCACAACTGTACAGAATTTGATTTTGATTTTCCCCTGACAGAATCAAATAATTGCCATCCTAACCGAGGATTAACCACGTCTCATGCATGAGAGACCAGCGCTCTAACCATCCATCCATCTGTTTTTAAAAACAAAACAAAAAGTCGGCCATGTTCAACCTAAAGTGTCGGTTATAACAGTGATCTGGTTTCTTTGTGCTATATGCGTTACCTGAGAGGTGGGGTGTTTTTTTTTTTTTTTTTGCCAAGTATATTAGCTTTTCTTTGTGCCAGTGTGGGTGACTGAATATCCCTATTTGTGTTGCGTGTTGTCCTTTCTTATATGTCCTCCTTCCCCTCCCCTTCTCTCCCCCCCCCCCCCCCCCCCCCCGCCCCCCCCCCCCTCGCGTTTAGAAAAGTCTTCCACAATGATAGCATGGGATTTCAGGGCGTTGTTATCAAAGTACGCTTATCTATATTATTGTAGTGTCTTAGTGGCATTCCTTAAAATGGTGAGAACAGGTGTGTGTGTGTGGGGGGGGGGGGGGTTGTATGTGTGTGTGTGTGCAGTCAAGCTAATACCAGGAAATTATTCTACTGAATTGTGACTAAACAGCTTAACGAAATGAGTATGTCATTAACGTGCAGAAAACAGACGGATCAACTTTTTTCTTTCTGTTTTGTGCACATTGTTCTCCTCCCTACTTTCCTTAAGCTGTTGTCACAATTCATTGGATTAATTTCTTGGTATTCCTGTCTGGTTTGTTTATTTCTTTTTACCCTGGATTCCTAGTATGGTCCATTCTGACTTGGAATCGTTCTAACCATTATCTATCGCTGCTTTTGAAATGTCATTGTCTTTTTCCTGTAGTCTTATTCTTCTTTGGAAATCGGTCTTAGCCTAGTGAAGCGGCTCTTGGCCTGTGGGTGCGACCCATTTGAAGTAAAGAAGTAGCAAAAATAATAGTTTTATGTTTGGGGAGTCACCGCAGTATAAAGAACTGTTTTAAAAGGTAGCGGCATTAGGAAGGTTGAGAACCCTAGATCTAGTAGCTAGGCGCTTTCTTACCGGTCTAAAGATCTCCGACTCTAGGCGGGTCTCCCCCCCCCCCCCCCCCCCCCCCCCCCCCCCCCCCCCCCCCCCCCCCCCCAATCCCTTTCCATTTTCTTCCCTTTTTCAGAATTTACCTTGGCTTCGAAAACGACCTGGTCTAAAAATCGGTACCATAATCTAGCAAGTAAACTCCGCCGGCATATTGTTGACCTCACCACTCGCCGAGTGCCGATTGGGCTTTTCAACATTGCGACAGAACGTTTCTAAGTGCAAACAGAGCCTTGAATATGATATCACAACATCTAGTTTGAGAATGGAGGTGGAGATAACCACCACAGTCTTTTGATGGCTTGAGAAACAGCTGTAAATACATGTCATATTTGTAACCGACTCACAGAACATGTTGAGAAAAGTCGGAATGGATCCTTGCGGATTGGCAAGGATCCCTTCTGTGGTGCCGGATAGTTAGCGTCCTTTGGTTATTTTGTTCAGGGATGCAGGTGTATTGGGAAACGAAAAGGTCGATAGATTGGTTGCCCCTGCACTATCTGGTGGTAAATTGATGCATGACAAGCTATGTGGTGCGAGGACCATGTGGAAGCGAGTGAACAGTGCCGAGCCACAAATAGATCATTTAGTCTCATGGGTATGGTGGAGCGAAGAGTTTCCACGGGATCTCCCCGAGACTCAACACTCATGAGAATGGTGGAGCGAAAAGTTACCACAGGATCTCCCCGAGACTCAGCACTCATGGGAATGGTGGAGCGAAAAGTTTCCACGGGATCTTCAACTTTGCGTTTGGCTGTTGAAGATGGGGGTAGGGCGCTTATGAAAACGCTCTATGTACTATGATGTCGACCGCTTTATCTGGCGTTATTTACGTTCAAATGACTTTTATTTGAAACCATGCTCATCGTTAATTTATTTTGTCTTTTCTGGCCGTCAAACTTCACACCTAATCTTATTACAAAAGTATTTGTTAGCCTTCCCTGGTAATGAACTCGACATTTTATGCTTTATCTAGTCTCTCTAAAGTGAAACTAACAAATACAGTTGAAATAACAATAGGTGTGGGACGGGTATACATTTTGTTGCCTTTGCTATTTTTACCGTCAGTAAACTGGATTTTGAAGACAGCAGCTTTTTTACTAGGAATAGGAGTCAGTTTGAAAACAGCTTGAGAATCTGTCATAGCTAACGACACCCCTTTCCTGTAACACTCAACTTGTCAGATGCAAGATAAATTAAGTAAACCTGAAGAGACATGACAAAGAAATATGTCTAAACACCCATCTGAGAAAGACACAGATATTGAGAATAAACCAGGCAAACAATAATCTGGTCAGTCTTGGTAAAATATCACTCCAATTTCTGATGACATACACCTTTCGTTTCCTACATTTACTTGTCTTTCCCTGGAAACTGCACGTGTCTTTTCCCAGTTTTCTCTCTTTTCCAAGATACATTTGTCCGTCTTTTCCTACAAACATTTACCTTTCTTTCGCTGCAAACATTTACCTTTCTTTCTCTGGAAACATTTGCCTGTCTTTCCCTACAAGCATATACCTGCCTTTCCATACAAATATTTACCTGTCTTTCCCTACAAACATATACCTGTCGTTTCCTACAAACTTTACCTGTCTTTCACTACAAATATTTACCCATATTTCCCTACAAACATTAGCATGTCTTACCTGTCGTTCCATCTATTTAACTGTCTTTACAAACAAACATTTACCTCTCTTTCCAACCATCTACCTGCCTCTGCAACCAATTAACTGTCTTTCCTACCATTTATATGTCTTCTTGATCATTTATCTGTCTTCCCAATCATATAAATGTATTTGCAAACATTTACTTGTCTTGTCCTGCTCACATTTACTTTTCAATGATATAGAAAGATATATTATGTATCAGAAAGACAACTTGTTACAACCAATGATATTTGTTTTTGTTTCAGCCCGCGGGGCGGGGTTTCTCACCACAAGACGAATCAAGTCCTTCAAATGTTTCGTCATCGGTGCAGTTATCATAAATTTGCTACTGTTTCTATCATTGGCGTGGAAAAATGCACCTAGATCTCCACTCAGCGATGTAATGAATGCAGGGCTATTGGATGTTGCTAGCAATAACAACCCTAATGAAATACAGCCTAAACGCCCTTTTGAACTAGGATTGCCAAAGGGCGGAGCCAGCCTTGAAGCCACTTCTGGTTGGACGATACAAGAACAAGAGGCGGTACGCAAGTCGGCATGCAGCTATAGAACTGCTGTGTATATGAATAATAAACATATCGATCTCAACCTTCCCCCTTTTGTGCATCATGTAAAAAGTATGACCTGTCTAGAAGGTGGAGAAATCGCAATTTTCGATGATAAATTTGTTAAATTTAACAATGTGATAATTGATTCATCAAAAATAACTAATTTAAGAAAAGGAGGCGAGAAAATGGAAGACGTTTGGAACCAGAGTGAGGATGAAGAATATCTTAAATTAGAGCCTGGTTTTTTTAAGGCCTCATGCCTAAACCCACCAGTGTTCAACTTTCCCCCGGCAGATCATCTGTTGGAGTGGGCCAAGTCGTTACAGTGCTACACAGCCAACGAAACAGTTCTCTCGCAGTACCCACTGTTCACAGGAACCACGCTGGCAATACAGCGGTATGAATATGTTAATCTTTACCATACTATGACAGATTTTTACAACGCTTTCGTCCTAATGTTAATTTTCGGAGTCCCGCCGTCTAAGCTAAACATCCTAGCTGTAGATGCTCATCCAGAAGGTGCTCTAGACCCGGTCTGGAAAACTCTTTTTGGCAAGTTCTTTCGAGCTGGGCATCTTAAAGAACCTACAGTATTTGAAAACCTCGTTTGGGGATTGCTAGGATACTTCAGTCCGCTGAACGAGCACGAGAGAACGGAAGTGCCCTATTTAACTGAATTCCGTGAATTCTTTTTGACTCGACACAATATATCCACAGATCATGCAATAAACTGTGACAGACTCAATGTAGTCATCATCTGGCGACGAGACTACGTCGCGCACCCTCGGAATCCTAAAGGAAGCGTCGTTAGAAAGTTCGATAACGAAGAAGAAATTGTTCAGCAAGTTAAAGAAACACTGGGACCCGGTGCAAATGTCCAAGGCATGCAGCTAGATAATATGCTAATGCAGGACCAACTTCATGTCATAGCCAAAACAGATATTCTGATGGGCATGCACGGAGCAGGGTTGTCCCATATCCTCTTCCTTCCAGCCACAAGCGGTGTCATAGAATTCAAGCCAGAGTACTCGAACCCAGCCCTGCAGCACTTCAAAGCATTCGCATACTGGCGAAAGCTACCATATACCATCTGGCACAATTATGACACCAACAACGAAAAAGAATTCCATAAAACTTACATTCCCAGAGATATTGTTAAGAAAACCGTTACTGAAATTTTCCAAGAAATATGTAAAACAGTGCGATGAATGTTCTCTGTTGTTTTCCATGTTGCTGTTTCAAATTTATATTTTTTACATTGGTGATAAGGTTCTAGAACATTCCAGTTACATGTTTTGACATCGTCCGTGAATTGATTTCCTGATGGGAGTGGAGTGTTGTGTCATTGGTGTTGTTATACATGCTGCTGTTGTCATTACTACTACTGCAGCCACTACTGCTGCTACTACAACCATCATCATCATCAACATCGCTAATGCTGCTGCTGCTACCACTACTACTATTACCAACAGCATACCGATATTACTACTTCCATCACCACCATTAGCCTTACTATTACAAAAACTACCACTACCATTATCACTACGACAACATGCGCTACTACTATTACTACTACTTTGTCTATCATCACCATCACTCCTACTACTACCAATACAGCTACCATTAATAACATTACTACAACTAGTAATACTATCACTACCAGTACTAATACAACAACAGCTACAACCACTACTTTAACTACCATCACCACCACGGCAACTAATATTCATTACTAATATAGTAAGTAGTGATAGATCTACTTATACTACTACGCCTAATGGTGCCACAACTTCTGCTACTGCTGTTAGAACGGCTACTGGTACCAGCTCTTCTGCTATTGCTGTTAGAACGGCTACTGGTACTACAACTTCTGCTACTGCTGTTAGAACGGCTACTGGTACCACAACTTCTGCTACTGCTGTTAGAACGGCTACTGGTACCACAACTTCTACTACTGCTGTTAGAACGGCTACTGGTACTACAACCTCTACAACTGCTGTTAGAACGGCTACTGGTACCACAACTTCTGCTACTGCTGTTAGAACGGCTACTGGTACTACAACTTCTGCTACTGCTGTTAGAACGGCTACTGGTACCACAACTTCTACTACTGCTGTTAGAACGGCTACTGGTACCACAACTTATGCTACTGCTGTTAGAACGGCTACTGGTACTACAACTTCTACTACTGCTGTTAGAACGGCTACTGGTACTACAACTTCTACAACTGCTGTTAGAACGGCTACTGGTACTACAACTTCTGCTACTGCTGTTAGAACGGCTACTGGTACCACAACTTATGCTACTGCTGTTAGAACGGCTACTGGTACTACAACTTCTACTACTGCTGTTAGAACGGCTACTGGTACCACAACTTCTACTACTGCTGTTAGAATGGCTACTGGTACTACAACTTCTACAACTGCTGTTAGAACGGCTACTGGTACCACAACTTCTACTACTGCTGTTAAAACGACTACTGGTACCACAACTTCTGCTACTGCTGTTAGAATGGCTACTGGTACCACAACTTCTACAACTGCTGTTAAAACGGCTACTGGTACCACAACTTCTACTACTGCTGTTAGAACAGCTACTGGTACCACAACTTCTACTACTGCTGCTAGAACGGCTACTGGTACCACAACTTCTACTACTGCTGTTAGAATGGCTACTGGTACCACAACTTCTACTACTGCTGTTAGAACGGCTACTGGTACCACAACTTCTACAATTGCTGTTAGAACGGCTACTGGTACCACAACTTCTACAACTGCTGTTAGAATGGCTACTGGTACCACAACTTCTACTACTGCTGTTAGAACGGCTACTGGTACCACAACTTCTACTACTGCTTTTAGAACGGCTACTGGTACCACAACTTCCGGTACTGCTGTTTAAGCAGCTACTGGTACTACAACTTCTACAACTGCTGTTAGAACGGCTACTTGTACTACAACTTCTGCTACTGCTGTTAGAACGGCTACTGGTACCACAACTTCTATAACTGCTGTTAGAACGTCTACTGGTACTACAACTTCTGCTACTGCTGTTAGAACGGCTACTGGTACCACAACTTCTGCTACTGCTGTTAGAACGGCTACTGGTACTACAACTTCTACTACTGCTGTTAGAACGGCTACTGGTACTACAACTTCTGCTACTGCTGTTAGAACGGCTACTGGTACCACAACTTCTGCTACTGCTGTAACAACAGTGTTACCGCTGTTACTATTTCTGCTACTACTGCTGATACTACATCTATGATGATTGTTATATCAATATCATCATCGTGTGTAAACATTGTGCCAATTTTCAGATGAGTAAAGGCAACAGATTGGGCGAGGCAGCGGGTGATAAACTAATACTGAGACCATCCCAGGAGCTAGCATGACAGGAGTGCTTTGATGTGACGACGATAGCTGGTCTTTGTCAGACAGACAAGTGAACAAAGACAGACCAGACAGAGGACAATTCTGCTCGTCTGGGTGGACATAAATTCTCTGTGTGTTTAAAAATTGTCCAGAGTTAGAGAGAGAACTGCTACAGAAGGTTTCTCGGAATATTATGAACCCAGAAGAAAAAAAATGTTGTCATCTTGAAAGATCTTCTTCTTCTTCTTCTTCGCGTTCACCAGCTGTAAACTCTGGCGGAAGGTTCTGGTTGCTCGTCCACTACTGAACTGCAGTCCTGCTCCAGAACCTGAGTGTTGCGTGTGCATCAGTTTTACAGATCTCATTCTCTTGAATACAGACTGTTGGTTCCTTGCCTCTCCGGCAGATGCACTCCGACTTCAAAGGAAGCTCCCCAATTAGTCGTCTCTTACGACATGCTTTTGGGGAGGCAGTGGGTCTATTCTTGTTTTCCCCACAATGGGGCCCCGGAACCCACACGGGGGATCTTGAAAGATCAAAAAAGATAGTCTGGTAAACAGTACCCTGTCTCGAAAACTGAAATACTTTTGCTAAACACAGTGGATTGGGGGGGGGGGGGGGGGGGGGGGAATAGCAGAAAGACGTACCCGAAAAAAGCTGCGGTGCTGGCCAGCACAAAGATGGGCGCAGGATGTAAATGACGCCATGTGATGGAAAGCGCACGAGGTGGAAGTTTCTTTCAGGTCTACAATGATGAGACTGCTGTTCTGCAAAGGACCTGCTATATGATGATGATGATGATAAAGAACGAACCCGCCAGATTGGATCTTTCAATGATTAGTTCTCGAGCATGTAAACGTGGGTTCTCCGCCAGCTGAGGCCAAGTCGCCGCATATGTTGCCTTGGTGCTGCTGCTAACTTCATCTCATTCCATTCTCATTCATATCATCTCATTTCATTCTTAATCACATCAACTCATTCCATTCTTAATCATATCATCTCATTCTATTATTAATCACATCATCTCATTCCAATCTCAATCATAGCATCTCATTCCATTCTTAATCATATCATCTCATTTCATTCTCAATCATAGCATCTCATTTCATTCTCAATCATAGCATCTCATTCCATTCTTAATCATAGCATCTCATTCCATTCTTAATCATATCATCTCATTCCATTCTTAATCATATCTGTTTAGTTGTTTGTCTTCTCCATGTAGGTGTATTTTTTTTTTCCATTATCTCTTGGCTAGTCTAGATTCGGGTGACAGTGCATTCTTTCTTCCGTCCTTAACCCCCCTCCCCCCCCCCCCTCTTCCCCATTTTTGTTTCCTGCCTGTCTTCTTTTTTCAATTTCTTTTTCTGTCTACCCATTCCCTTTTTTTTTACCCTGCATTACGATTAGTATCAATTGTGTCTTCGTATTCTGGTTGTTCGATATATGTGTGTTTGTGTGTATATATATATATATCTGATGACACAATCATCGTTTCAAACAATGTTAAGAGAATTTAAAATCTTATCATGTCTGTCAAAAATCACAGCAAAGATCAAATCCCATTCCTGAATTTTTTTTTTCACGAAAATTATATCCACAAACAAACGGCTGTGACCCAAAAATAACAATATGTGAAGAAAAAATCGAAAATTCACACACTTTGGATTTCTGGGCTCTGTAATAAATAGCAATGGAGACTGACAGAAATCAAAAGGAGAATGGCCATGGTAATGCAAAGATTAAACTACGTCCATCAGGAAATCAAAATTAAAATTTTTAGAGCATACAACTTACGAATGTGAGTCGTGGACTGTCTTCCAGTCCTTTAGAAAGACAATGGTAGCTTTGGAGGTGAAAAGCTAGAGACAAATTCTTAGAATACCATGGACAAAGAAGATGAGAAATACTGACATTTTAAACGATTTTGTGAACATTAAGGAATAATCACTAATAAACAGCATCTTGTCTCAGAAGCTGAAATGTTTTGGTTATATCAAGCGCCATGGCAGATTAGAAAACACAACTGCAGAAGGCATGGTATCGGGAGAAAAGGGCAGGGCCGACCACCACGAAGATGGGCACAGGATACAAGTGACTCCTTGAGTAAGAAAGTACATGAGACGGGAGAGCTGGCGAGAGACCGAGTTTCTTTCAGGCAGACCGTGATGAGAGCGACGTTCTGCAAAGGACCTGCTACATGATGATGATGATATATATATAATATATATATATATATATATATATATATATATATATATATATATATATATGCAAATGAGATGTCCGAGAAGGGCTGCGTGAGTTAGCAGGAGAGATACAATCAGGAGTGAGATCAGGAGAGACAAAGTCGCCAAAGAACAATTCTAAATTACATTCACAGACAGCGAATCAAATGGTTTGCCCACTTAGAGCGAAGTCTTTGTGACGCCATACCACACACTTCATACACCAAACCAGGAATATAAGTACAAGGTACACCAAAAAGCAGATTGAAAGACAACATCTCGACATCTTTGTGGTCGAGGCAGCAAGCAACGCATGAAGCAGAATCTTTTTTCTACCCCGACACCCGAAGATGAAGAAGCATAATATCATGTCGCCGTAATGTTGTTTCTTTAATCATTACAATCTAAGTTTTATCTGACTGTAGCATTTTCCTGGTGATATCATTTTGAGTGGCTGGCCGACCAACCAGACAGTTAAGTCTCCTGTTCGGGTGACCAATGTTTGAATCTTCAGTAAGACGTTTGACTTGTTCACTTTCTTTTGTCAGCGGCAAAATAAAAATTAAAATCAAACATGAACATATCAACAGCTTGAGGTGCCTGCAC